ACTCTTCCTCTTCCACTGATACTGTGAAGCTGGAGTTTTTTTCCGTGACTTCAAAATTTCAAGTAGTTTTACAGTTCTTTGCCATGGGATAAATGTCTGTTGTACAAACTATTTTGACTTAAATACTTATGAAGTGGTTTAATTTAGGAAAGACAAATATAGCTCCTAGAAGATGGATAGAACTGGATTACTCAGAGGTACTTAATTATCTATTTTTGTCTGTTGACATAAAAGCACCATTAAAATGTTTAAAAAGAAAGACTTAGAAATATGTAAACGCAGATGTAATCTTATTATGTAAGCCCTACAATGGGGGACCTACAAGAAAGCTGGAGAGGCACTGTTTAACAGAGCATGGAGTGATAGGACAAGGGGTAATGACCTTAAGCTGAAGGAGGGTAGATTCAGATTAGATATTAGGAAGAAATTCTTTACTGTGAGGGTGGTGAGGCACTGGAACAGGTTGCCCGGAGAAGTTGTGGATGCCCCATCCCTGGAAGTGTTCAAGGCCAAGTTGGATGAGGCTTTGGGCAGCCTGGTCTAGTGGAGGGTGTCTCTGCCCACCATCTGGCAACGGCTGATTCTGTGGAATAATTGCAAATTTTGTCTTAAATAAAACCTCCCTGTTAATGCATATCAGAACAGCATTTCCTATTTTTTAAAATGACAACAAATCATTAACTCATATTGAATTTGTGATCTGCTATAACTCCTAGTTCCTTTTCTACAATTCTACTGCCTAGCCAGCAGTTTTCCAGTTTGTTTTGTTATTTATTTTTCTTTTAAATTAAGACCATTGTGCTTGTTTCTATTGATTTGTCCTCATTTCTTTTGGATCATGTCTGTAACTCACCCAAATCTGAGTCCTACGTTGGTCCTTTGGAACTCTTGCAATTGCTCAAAGCTTGGTGCCATCTGCAAGTTTTCTAAGCATTTTAGATGATAATTTGCCACTCAAATTAGCTCAAGTACATTCAGGCTAAGACCTTGCAAGGCTCATTTGTGTAGTCCTCTCAGGCTTAGTGATCTTTGGAAAACTGCTCTTTGAGTAATGGTTACATCTCTTGCATGCTCATTTTATGGTGATTTGAGCTAAGCAATATTTCACTTGTTTGCTTGTAAGAATGTCTCATGGGACGGTATTAAAAGTCTTAATTAAGCAAACTATAGCACACTATTGTTTCTTTGTTACTCACTCAGCCTTGAAGTACAAACTAGATTGATCTGCCAAGAATAAATCATATCAATGCCAGCCATTCTTGACAGCTTAGCCTTCTGCTGATTTTTCAATTGTTTTCTTTACAATTTTTCAGTATGGTTCTAGTATCTTTTCTAGGTGCTCACATGGAAGGCCTGGCTTCGAGTTACCTTGATCTTCCTTTCATAGATACAGCGAGGCAATATTTGCTTTTTGTCAGCCCTCTGACACCTTTCCCCGCACTCTAAGGTAATTCCTGAGGGTTTGGATCCTTAAACAGTAACTTGGTTGGCTGTAACTAACCTAGTCTTCACTCCAGCCTTTTCTTTCTCTGACCTGTTCTTTTTTTCCCACTGCATAACACTATTGTAGTGAGTATTTGTTAACTTTTCTCTGTGTTGAAAGCAATGACATTTGACATGTTCTCTGTCAATTACTGTCCTTCTTTAAATAGCAGAACTGGCTGGTTTTTATTATTCTTACTCCTGATATGTTAATATAGCCTTTTCTTACCTTTTATGTGTCATGGTGAACTATCAAGTTAAACCTTCTAACTAGTTGCTGCTAGATAATCCTTGTTAGGCACTTCTGTAAGGGAAAAGAGGTGATCTGGAGTATTCCCATTCACTTGTAAAAAGCTGGGCTTTCACTTGTGGAAATGAAGGTCTGGAGTCTATAGGAACAAGAAGTGTTCTGCATTTCTGGAAATTTGACTTGATTTAGGTTTAGAGTCTCCTGTTTTTCTGGCAGAGAGGAATTGGATTAATTTTAAGGAACTATGTCTGTGTTCACGCAGCCTGAGAGGATAGTGGACAACTGTATCCAGCTCAGTACAGCACAATAAGTGAGGGTCTTATATTCTCAAATCAATTGGCAAAGGAAGAATACAAAAGCATAAATGTGAAATAACAATGAGAAGAGAATAAATCAGTAACATGGAAACCAACTAAGAGGCAGGCTGGATGGCATTTCTAGCTTGAATATCTGCAGTTCAAGCTAAGCAACTGTATCAGGTATTTTTGCTGAAATACCTGTTTAACTTAAGATGTAATATGAGCTTTAGCTCACAGGAATCCCAGTCTTCCTGAACAAGAAAATTGAAGTTTTTAAGCATCTTTGACTTTTAATGAAGAGATTTTAACCTCTCAGTTGTGTGCTTTTGAAAATGCTTTTCAGGCTTGCTTTTTTCTGAAAACTTTGCATTTATAAACATCTTCCATTATATTAAAAGGATATAAAAATATAATCAGTGGATGGCAGAATTCCCTGGGAAAAACCAAAAAGAGCCCCATGTCAGTGATGTATAATGGAATGCTGCCAACAAAAAGGCAGTCTTTTTTTTTTTTTTAGGCTGGAGTTTTTACAGGCATATTGCTTTTAGGCTTTGGTGTTTTGGGGTTTTTGTGGGTGGGGTTTTTTATCTGCTGCAGACAAGAGGTCTCAGACAGCCCCTGTGAAGGAAGACTATTGTAAACTGTGAAATGCTCTCTTCCTTCCTCCGGAGATTCCACTGACAAAGCAACTCTGATGAAGTTTCCTCCACTCAGCTTCAGAACTTCTGCCATGACAAGGATGAGCACTTACCAGTAGGAAGCTTGTAAAACAACTTGCAAAAGTGAATCTCCAGGAAAAGGTGTAGGACTTTCTGCCACCTGGCTCCAGAGAGGATATCAACTGTTCTGGAGTTGTCTATAATTTTTCTGTGTGTACAATTATAACAGCTGATCAATGTTTTAGGAAAAAAAAAATAAGGCTGCCCTATCAAAACTCATTATCATTAGTTTGTATTAGGATAACATTTACAGAACCCCTGTGAAATTAGGCCTTGCTGCATGATGTACTGTACAGGTGCATCAAAAGTACTAGCCTCTTTTAGAAGGGTTTACTGTCTGAAGAACATGGACAGAGAAAGGTTGGCAGGCAGGAAATGTTTTCACTCCCAATTTACAGACGAGCAGCTGAGGCTAAAGAAATAGCCGTCCTGATCTTACGCTACCTGGAAGTCTCTGGAATTCTGTTCTAAGCAAGGCTGGCCCAGACCTGGGCTTGCAGAGTAAATTTGTGACATAGCCAAGAGTTAACCTCAACTTTCTAGTGTTTCTTGACTGTCTGTTTGTGTTTCTAGCTTTGCTAGTTCACACCTGCTAGAAAGTGTTCTTCTCCTTACAAATATTCAGTGCGTTGTTTTTAATCCTCACTCTATTCAGTAACTAACTTTGACATGCTTTCTAGGACTTTGTGCCAATTTCTAGTGTCCTCTCATACTTTGATAGTAACTGAGGCTGGTTTAGAATATACTCTTTATTTTATCCTCTTTTCTGTGATGAATTCCTTTGGGCAGAGATCTATTAAGGTATGGATACTTGACAAATATTTTTTTGTGAAAAAAATTGGGAATTGATACCAGCCAAGATCTTAGGTTGGAATCCAGGAGCCACTGATTTTTATTCTGTAAGAACAGGCTGAGGCTGCAAAATAAGAGCTCTGACATGTACTGTATAAACTATAACTGCCTTCTTGTGTATGCAGGTACACTCTGAATAGCCTGTGTCCACCTACCAACCCACTATAGCAAAGCATCTATAATTACATTACAAATGTGTCTCTGTACCATGGACACCATGTGACTGCCTATGCAGGGCAGTAATATAATTAATCAGTGTATACACAATAAATGTGCATTGATTCAGTACAAGACTAGCATATTGTCTTGTCCACCTGAAATATTATATGCACCTGTTCAGGAATTGTAACTCTATTGAGGTGAGGATATTGGAGCATGTGGTCCAAGGGACTTTCAAAGCTAAGGCCGTATTCCAAGCTTGACTTCTAGGAGTGACTGATGAATCTGTATTGTGAGCAAGACTCTAGAAGAGTACTAGTAATCCTGGGGCTGGCAAACCTTACCACAAATGAGAATTCTGCACAGCGTGCTGTGATCCACAAGGAAGGGCTTGTCCAGTGCTGCAGTTTCTATCTTTTACTCAAACTTAGTTAACCAGTTTTGGGTGTCAGTGCTTTTCTTACTGAGATCCCAAAAGAACTGGCACCTCCTTGCTGCAAAGCACTACATGCTGGGTGAAAAGTTGGAATCTGCTTATTCACACATCTAAAACTAACAGTCTTGCTCCTTCCTGATATCCTGGAATTGTGTGTTTCTGTCAGTAAAACTATGTAATGCAGCACTTGGCAGTTGGGGGGGTTGATTTGGCAAGGGGAAGCTTCAGGCTTATTGTGTGGGAGGGCCAGATCCTGGGATTTTCCAAGAAATTTTTTTCCACACGGAATTTCCTATCTCGCTGAGGATAGGCCAGTTGAGAGAATAAAAGGCCGTAGTAGAGGCAGGAGATTACACAGTCCAGACACTTGGAGCTGAACTTAATCTTCAAGTCCATATTCAGCAACTTAGCAACAGAAAGCAGTCACTGAGAAATATCGCAGAGGACTTTTGCCACCTGTCCACCACAACTACAACCTGTGAGTATAAATTGAGTGTATTATTCTGTTTCACTGCTCAGCTAAAGAACCACTGGACAGATGGAATTCTGTGTTGGTATTCTTTAAAAGTCGTTTACATTTAAAAGTTATTTTGATATTAAGCACTGTTTTAAAATGAATAATTTTGTAAAAATGGAAATTTTATTTCAGTCTTTAGAATAATTGTTTTAAAGTATGTAGAAAAGATTGCATAGACACTTTCATACTGAATTGTAAAAAGTGAGTATTTGTTCTCTACAAATGTGTACCTTTGATCTCTCATAGCCATCTGCTTAGAAGATTAGAGAAGAGAAAACTCAGAAACATGATTTGCTTGTGGTTCCTATCTCTTCTTGCTTATGGTAAGTGTGTCTTTTTCTGTGTAGAAAACTAGTTGGACGGTAATATTAGCATGACTGTTCTGTTTGAGCTCAGAATTAAACAGAATTTTTGAACTAATTAACTTGAGCTTAGGTTCATGTAGAAAAACCTCTAGCTGCAATGACATGTTTCCCTGCTTGCCTATCAAATACATAATTGGCTCCTACGCTTTGCTGTGAAGTCTGCAAAGCTTTGTGTGATCAGACACGGTTTCACAGGCTGAAGTCCCTATACTTGATGCTGACATGCCAGTTTTGAAGCTTTCCCGTTGATTGTTTACAAAATAATTGCCACTGGTTTTTATGTAGTTTCAGATATTGACAAGTTTTCAATATTTATAGAACCTTTCCTTCCCCTCTCTCTAGAAGAGGATGTGTCAAGTTAGACACCAACTTTTTGATATCTTTTCATTCTAGGACTTACAGTACTGCAGGGGGTGAATTGTTGGACATACCATTATTCAGACACGAACATGACCTACAAGGAAGCAGAGCTGTGGTGCAAAAAGAGGTATACTAACATGGTTGCCATTCAGAATAAGGAGGAAATCAACTATCTCAATGACTTCTTACCCTTCAATCCGGGTTACTACTGGATTGGAATCAGAAAAATTAATGACGTATGGACCTGGATTGGAACTAACAAAGAACTGACAGAAGAGGCAAAAAACTGGGCTTCAGGTGAGCCAAATGGCAAAGGGAACAACGAGGACTGCGTTGAAATCTACATCAAAAGAGGGAAGGATGATGGCAAATGGAATGATGAACAGTGTGAGAAAAAGAAGGTCGCCTTGTGCTACACAGGTATGATGTGATAAAGGCCATTCTAGTGGGCCCCTGTGGAGATGAGATGGTGGGTGGGATGAGCTGTTTAACCTAGTCTTACATATTAACTACCTGACCCTGTAAGCACTTGTACACCCATCCTTACTTATAGGACTGAGGTTCTTGTTCTAAGAGCTGGATTGATCTCACTTACCTTTTACCTCCCAGAATGTTACACATCTTTTATGAGCAAATCACCAGACCTTCTTTATAATCAGTGGCGAGAAACAGACTCTTCCAGATGTGACTTTCATCGCACTCTCAAGTGGGTGTCTCAGCTAGATAAGAATTGCCCTTTTGGAGGCATCTATCTGCTGACTATAGACCACTGGATTAGATTAGACACTTTGTGTAGAGGTGGCTAAGGCTAGGTAAAAAAGAAAATTCAAGTAAAATATCAGCCAAATTAGAGCTGTGGTAAGTTAATGAAGAATGTACGTATTGAGGATTTCTACCCACCCCATAGTATATTGTTCCTTTTGCATTCTAAATATTGCTAATATCTACCTGAGAACAAGTGATCACAGAGCTTCCAGCGAGTAGAATCCTTTCGTTGTGAGGTGGTCTGTCAAATATGTTGATTTCTGAAATCCTTCTGTAAAATGGCAGGGTAATCCTACATACCAAACCACCTGCTTTTCTTTTGCTGTACAAAGTGCTTATTTAGGGCCAGAAAGATAAACAAAGTGCTAGCCAGATTTCATTAGTGGCCATTGCTGATTCTTTTATAATTTGCTGTATTTTTTCTTTTTTCCTTCTAGCTTCTTGCAACCAATCTCTCTGCAGTGGCCGTGGAGAATGCATAGAGACTATTAACAATCACACCTGCCGTTGTAACCCTGGATTTCATGGGCCCGAATGCGAGTTTGGTAAGATTACTCCATCCTGCTTTTCAACCAGGGCAATGTTCGTGCTAGCTAGAGTTCAGTTTGTCTGGCTTGTTGGTTTACCTGCTCAGCCGATGAGACTGACTGTGTACCTTCTTGTGTTTCTTTGAAGTTAAGAGCTGTGATCCACTAGAGAAACCTGATCATGGGAGCCTCGAGTGCAACCACCCATTGCAGAACTTCAGCTACAACTCATCCTGCACAGTTCAGTGTGAGGAAGGCTATGAACTGACTGCGCTGGAATCTGTATACTGTACCTCTTCTGGGGTCTGGTCTGCGCCCCTTGCGACATGCAAAGGTGAGCTGCTCAAGCAGTGATAGATGAGTTTTCTGCATTATACATAGCTCTGTAAACTTCAGCATTGCTCTTAGTAGGTACACATTGAAGTTCTAGCCCATTTCCTGATAATTAATTATGTGGTGAAGGAGCTATTTTACTGTAGCACACAGGTGTCTCTGTTCCTGAAGAGATGAAATGGGCAGGATAAATGCTCTGGCCCTGGCCTAGATTTCCTTGTAGAGAAAGACTTTTTTACTTCTTAGTGGGGAACAGGGAATGGAGATGATCTAGCTGTGAGACTGCTTACAACAGGCCAGTTACTCCTGAATGTAGGAATTATTTTTTGAGGTGTTCAGCTTAGAATAAGCTACTGTTTGAAGCAAATAAAAGCATCAAACATCATCAAGCAGCAGTCAAAATGGGAAAATTTTGGATTGTAACTATTTGCTGTTCTGAGCTGCAGATGAATTTACAGCCATGTCTTAAGAGTCAGTCTTCCATTTTGAGATCTTTCCACTCCTATCTGCTTTTTGAAATGGCAGCATAGTAGATCTCCTTTCTAAAGCTGATTACATTTAGTGGTTATGTTGCTAAGTTTCAGGAAAGAAAAAAACAAACTTATGGTTTGTTCCCAGCTAAGCTCTGTGCTGTCTCTTATGCTTTTCAGCTGTGACCTGTCCTGCCTTAGAAATGCCTGCTCATGGTGCTGTGAACTGCTCTGATCCCTCTGTGGAGCTCACCTGGGGTGCCACCTGTGAGTTCACCTGTGAGGAAGGATTTGTCCTGACAGGACCAGCCACACTGCAGTGTGGGTCTTCTGGGGCCTGGGACAAGCAGCAGCCATCCTGTGCAGGTACCTTTCCTTATCCCTGCTCACCTGAGCACTTGGGGCTGTCAGCATTGGCATGTTGGATTCCTGAGACAGCTGTGCTGATTGCTGTTGTGATCTGTGTGTTGCAGCTGTGAGGTGTGAGGCTGTAACCTGGCCAGAAGAAGGCTTTGTGACCTGTGACCACGCTCCTGCAGATCTCACCTATGGCTCGCGTTGTGATTTCCGCTGCAGCAGGGGCTATGTTCTGGACGGCCCATCCAGCATTGAGTGCATGGCACAGGGACAGTGGTCAGAGCCAGTGCCAAAATGCAAAGGTAAGATTTACTGGGCTGGAAATCATCAATTGAAGCTTAGAGTAGCTCGATAGTCTGAAGAGACTTCCTCATTCAAGTGCATTCAAGGAGCAACAGTCATCCCCTGTGTATTTATAGCACTTTTCATAAGCAGATCTGAAGACAGAGATCATTTAGTCTCTTGTATTAAAGAGGAAACAGCACTGCGGGGTGAGAAGCAACACTCAGGAACTGTGTCCCTGACACACATGATAACAGGCTTCTGAAGTGAAGTGTTCTGACAGGAACTTTTTATTCCCTACCCCCCAAATGGCAGCCAGTGTCTGTTT